GATGAGCCTTATTTTTAATTTTTTAATTAATAATACTAATATATGTAGTTTCTGTGTCTGTCACATTTATAAACTAAATCGTTTATTTAGTTGGGTAAGATGATATTTTGGTAATGCGTTATCTAGCATATGAATTACTTCAGTAGCAGTATATGCCCCCCAGATGGCGATACACTTGCCTGTACTCGGATATTTCATGAATTATTAGGCACGCAGTCACACATGCTTACATGGAGGTTTACACGTAGACTCATTTGGAGTATTAATGTTAGCATTAGTGTGTTGCTGCTAATGAACTAGCGAATGTAAACAAAATTAGTTGCAGGCTTCAGTCTTTGTTGCGCTGCTTGTGGCTTATGAACAACTACGTTTCGAACTTTTAGAGCACACTGAACTAACATATGTCTAGCCACTACTCAATTACGACCAAGTAGTTGCTTCCCACACTTTCGATGGTAAATAGTTCGATTCGCCTATTAGTTAACGGGAAATTCGAAAGTTTCGAGAGCTATTCCAATAAACTTGTTGTGGGTAGTTAAATATTTACCGCGAATCCTTGCTATGAATATAACGATTAGTTAATTAATGAATTGAATTCGATTACTGATCGATTTCTGATAGTCTAATTTTAGTAAGTACACAAGATGAATTGAAAGATGTGACTTGAGTAATCCTTTTATAGGAATGCAAGGATTAAACATTAATGGTTTCTATAAAAAATAAATATCAAAGGGGACTTGATGAAATGAGGAATATAAGAAATTGGAGATGTTTACGTTATCTCTCTTAAATCCTGATCTCATTAAAAGCGACGCGATAGCCACCTGGTGCTAAAAAATTCTTTAGACAATTATTTTTGACTCAACTCGTTAGTTGTAATCGGATGGCTCTAATCTCTGAACCGACCAATCGTCGACAAGTTAGCTGGCGATGGAGCATGCTTGTAAAGCCTGTAGTAGAAATTATTTCAGTAGAAGAACAACGAAATAAATGCCCTTTTCTTTGCTTGATATAGACTGCTTCCTTTATGATCCTAAGACAACTATTGCCTAGCAATTTTAACAATATTGCTTTCAAATCGGGGGTATAAGGGCCTTAGTATCTTTTCTCTATTTTCTTGTTAAGTAACAAACTTCTACAATTGGCGTTCACTACTCTGTCTGTATTTACTCATTGAAAGGATGGTCTGTGTTCTGTCTGAGCTAATATCTAAGGTGCAGCATGACGTCTGACAGATTTTGTACGATAAGGGTTTTTATATTAAAGAAATTTCTGACACACCTCCTTCTTTTGGGCTTAATTTTTGTTATCATTTCATAATTACTGAACTTTCATTTAATCATTTTTTACTAGAAAACTTTAACATTCTGTTCTCTTAACCGAGTGACCCGATAAAACTACAACTGGTGCTAAGAATACATTTAAGAATATTATTTAGGTCTCTGTGCAAATCTTTTGAATAGAAAATGGGACGCAGTAAAAGTTAAGATAAAAAGTTGGGCCTTGAAACCGCGCTCTGGAGATTATCTTGTCTCTTTCATGTTTCGATAAGGTTATCCAAATAATATTTTCCGTCTTTTAAGTTTACTGCCTGATTTCTAAGCAGAACTCTCGGGAAAACAAACTTTTCTATTTAAATTGAGTTTTAACTCTTGATGGAGGCCAGGTAAGTCAAGCACGAACGAATTAATAATTAACCCCGTTGTCTGTGTGCGTGAAAGAGAGATCGATAGAGAGAAGGAGAGAAAGAGAAGAAGTCAGAGCGGCAGTAGCACCAAAGCAAACGACCAGAGCCTTTCGAGAAGTACTCGTCACCCCGAAGTGTGTTAATATTAAAACGAATCGCCGGAGGACATGCGAAAATCGTATTATCCGCGGTCGAACAGAGCTGCAAGAGGCGGAACGCTCGCTGTACGGTCCTGGAACATGCATATAGACTGCCACTGTCGGCGGTCATTTCATACATATATTTATGGCTTAACTCGGTGAGCTTTATTTATGAACTGTAACAAATGGAATATGTCACTTGCAAATTGTACATTTGCATACATTCCGCAGAGACGGAGGTGTGCACCGACTATAATAATACTAGCCGCAGTTGGTATCCAATGCACCGGCTGATTCTCTAAAAAATTAGTCCGGGCTTTAACTTTAGTTGTCACATATGACTATTTAAATTGGATATTTCTCATGCACGCGAGGCAAATAACATGAATAATACACTTTCCTGTTTGGCGCAAATTATCATAGAAACAATACAATTTAGAGAGGTAGTTGGAAAAAAGTTTACTCAGTTTTTCGGGATTTTAAAACAGGTAAATGAACAAAACGAGAATGTTAGAATGTTTCAATGTGTCCTCGGTCTTAGGTACCCAGAAGGAATTGGGAACATATTAATTAAACATACTGTTGACGCCTGGTTTGACGAACTTGTTTCATGATTAAAACTCACGTTAGTTTTCTAATGTTGCGTTTATTCAAACTTGCAACTTAAATAAAAACCTAACGCTAAAAAATATTAATATCACTTAACTGTTACGTTACGAAAATGCTTGTAATTATGCTTGACNTATTTCCGCAACTGCTCAATGATTTATAATGTCGCATTGTTGTCGTTAAATAGAGTGAGCGTGGCGCTATATAGAGTGTAATATTGCATAGAAAACAATGTAAACCAAGCAATTTCGACGTTTTAAGGAGTTTGTCGTTAAATCGAGTGACGTTATAAAGAGTTTACACTGTACTTGATAGACTTTGAACTTCCTTGTTGTTCCTTAAAATAACACTAGTAGTTTTGGTTTAATGATACGAAAGCATTTATACTTCCATTAATATCTACATATACGACATAGGTGTACCATATGTACGTTAAATTATTCTGCCGTTAACAACATTTACAAATCTGTCAGAAACTTAAACTGTTTAGCATGCGTTATTTATCACTGCTGAAATAAAGTAATTTGCAAGCAAACAAACAAGCGTTCGGGGAAAATGTGGCCTAATTCCGCTGACAGCCTTGACACGAAGAAAATTTTGCGAAATCATGCACAAACTGCATATCTCCGCACAAATGGCATCCAAGGGGAAAATAGTAAAGCCAGCGTATAAATCCATGGCAATTTCGTTCTATTCTTCCGCTAGAGGGTGAGTACAGAAATGCAACAATAAAGCGCAATAAATTCTAATACTGGAAACGTGAAGTTAATCCTCAAATTCACAAGAGATTCAATTTACACCTACATTGTAGTCCATCATATAAAATATACTGATTGCGATACTGTTCTAATGATTTAATTTTTGAAGCTCAAAATTTCCACATAATCTTTATGTAAAAGTTAACTGCTATGAAAAGTATTTTCATAATAATTTAGTCTGATGCAACATCAGGCAAATTCTTTTTGAAGTGAAACTTCTTTACGCACGGTAGGGTAAGTTCATTTCATGCGAGTTGCTATGTAACGAAATCATGCAACGGATGTCCCCCCTCTACTTGGCCACGTAGTCCAGGTCGTAGTGGGGATCGCTTGAGCCGTGAGCGCGCTTCAAATCAACGTTCGTTACAGGCAACTCCGGCATGTATAGTGTAAAATTTAAATTCATAGTGTACAAATAACAGCATTAAACCAATTCCTTAACCCCTATCCCGGTATGTTTGTGTGTTTGAAGAAGTTTCACTTCAGTAGTGTGTTGTATAATTACACGTTCAGCTTTTCAAAAGTATATGTTGGAAAAGGGAAATCATCATCATCATAAAGTCGTCTGTCCCAAGACCGGTTGGACAGGCACTTCCGCTCTTTGCTATCCTGAGCTAATCTTCGCATTTCCTTAAAACTAGAACATCCCACATCCTTGGCTATTTGTGAACGGTAATTAACTCTAGGCTACTTCTACTCCTCTTAACTCCTGTTTCTGCCTCTAATATGTCTCTAATTAGACCTTCATGTTGAGAAGGTGTCCTACCATTCTATCTAGCCTATTTCTTATTGACTTCCATAGAGTCTTCTGTTCATCTATTCTTTCTAATATCTCTTCATTTCTAACTTTCTTTATCCACGGTATCCTCATCATTCGCCCGTAATACCACATTTCGAACGCTTCTAACCTTATCTTTTCCGCCGCGCCCACCTTCCACGTTTCGTACCCGTACAACGCCGCGTTCTAGATATACACTTCTAACAATCTTTTCCGAATTTCTAAATTAATCATTCACGAGCATTAAAAACAGAATAATAATGAAAGAAAGGATTATATTTTAATTAATTAAGCTGCTCTATGCCGAGACGCTGCTCGAAATAATTTTAAGACGGTTTTCAGTGATTATGAATTTAATATTTAGCAATTATTACGGAATCTCTAGTATTTAGTTTCTAATACTAGTACAGGAGTTCAGGTATTCAAAGAAAATGAGCTCATTATTTTCATCTTCTTTATTATGTTTTCTATTGAATTGATATTGTACAATTGAATTCCCTTCAACTGTCATCTGCGAATCGATTGAGCGGAATATTCGTTTGAGCGCAAAATTGTAACTTGTAAGGGATCTCTTATTTATGAAAAGATGAGATCAAAAGAAATATTCATTGCATTTATTCCAAGCTTCGACGATGGATGCCAAACAAAGCCGCAGGCCGTTCGCTATAATCGAAAAGCACAATCATTAAATCTTAAATTACGACGGTTGGTTCTTATAATAGAATTCAGTTCAGCAGTTTTCTTAGAGTTTTATTGATTTATGACGTATATGGAATTCAGAAAATGCATTTTTCTTCAAAATAAGATTGTATCGTTTCCTCACATTCTGTATTTACAAAACGAAGAAACGTAAGACAAAATTATTGTCTCTAATACAGTCTCGTGTTGATAATTCCAGATTCAACGTGGGCGAAACACGTGTGCCTTTTTAAAAAATCTTATGGTATACCTGTAGGGGTGGGTCTTTCTCATATTTTAAAATTATTATTCTGTCAGTAACTTTGCTTAGTAGGTGCTTTTTTTTACAGATTCCTCAATTGAACACGAATGCCAATACCCTTACATCTTTTCGGGAATCGGGAAAAAATCGATGGTAAGTACTAATAATAGACATTTTAAATTATAGAGAGATTTAGTTATAGAAAAAGCGATATACGTAACACCGGAAAATTGTACATTATCTCGTTTTAAATGCAGTCAGTCATAACATGCTCTATCGCTTAGATGGTGTTACTATTTTTATTTTATTGCTTACGTAAATGTTCTGTGATATACCAATGTAAATCATTAAAGATTTTTATTAATAAAAATGTTAACATTGATAAAAATGGATTGCTTAAAGCAAAGGTTCTCCCTTACAATATTGATCGAAGAATTATTTAGGATGATTTGAGTTTAAGCTATTAGTTAGGAGATCAGTGCTTTGCAAATTTTTAATAATTATTTATAGCATCCTGCCTTTATTTCTAACACACCAATTTAAACTAACTGAAAATATCCCCAATATGTAGTCTTTAATTGGCACTTTAAATAAAAACTGTACTGTTTCGAACAAGATCATATAAGAATTTAGGTAGGTAGATGCCTACATCAAATTAAAACTAACCAATTTCAATATGTAAAATTAGAATTAATTACGAATTCAATAAACCACTTTAACTTACGCGGGTCATCGCATAGCAGTCCGAAACGGCATATAGCAGGCAGACACATCGCAAAAACATGAAACAAATACCGAAGTTACTGTTTTGCATAAAGAAAAGGGGGTAAATGGTAACTCACCGGGGGAATTGCATCCCCCATGCAGATCTTTAATAAAAAACCCATCTTTCCATATCAGATATATATAACAAACCATAATCTTCAGAAATGTACATTTCCACCTGAAACGAGTAGAGGCTCCCCTGGACGCCCGACTACCGCGCTAGTAGTCAGCATCCCAATGATTTGGTGTGAGAACACCAAATCATGTCAACCGGGCGCATGTAGGGCCCCTCACCTACATGTCACTGCTCCGGAGGAACCACATCCCCAGAGAGGACGGGATTTGCGCGCCGGGGGCTTGCACCACACAGATGCATAAAGTACCACACAGGTAAACATCATAATCGCATCACACAGATGCATAAAGTACCACACAGGTAAAACAACGCAGTTGCACCACACAGGTGCTGAATAGAAGTGTACACTTAAAGCAATTGCAAAACAGTACTGCACACAGGCCTGGCCAAAACAAAACTGACTCAAAATAAGACAAAATATATCCGTGCCTGCCCGGCTACTCACCTTCATGAAAAAAGGTCATATTTCAAATCATAACACCGACAAACGGATAAAGATATATTAGATAAAATAAAATTACAATTCCACCAATAATAATGAAAATAAAAAATTACTTCAAAACGTAAATTATTGTTACAAATAATTAACTCGAAAATGGTAAAAGGCTACGAAATCTAATGATCTTGATTTAATTTTTTTATTAAAAGCAAAGTAGATTTTAAAATATTGAAGGTTGAAGTTAAACTAGTAATCATTCGGAATTTTAAGTGCATTAGCAGAAGTTTTTGGGGTTAGTTGGCAAGGCACCTGATTCCGATAAAAGTTGGGAAACCCTTGACGCACTTAATTCTTGATTCGTCCATTGCACATTTTGCAGTTTTCTTTCGGATCCGTGAGCAAAAAGCGCTTTTGAGCCGCAGGTTTCTCGTCCGAACTGGTGGATAGTGGATTGCTTGAAAGTTTTTCTCGCCCTCAGCATTGGAAAGGGCGTGGCGCTACGTATCTTGCAACGCTTGATCGAACAACCTATTCCGAAGTCAGACGTACTGAAAATGGATAAAGTTTGTACAGCTTTTTGCACTACCGCGAAATCCTCCGTTCAGCTACTTAAAATTGGAAGAATTTCTTTATTTGTAGGTGCACTAAGCAATCCAAAACATTTACATTAAGAAACTCGAAGATGGCTTTTCCGGTTTTTTATCATAAGAAAGTTTTATTCACGTTTCAATACTCACTTATACGAACAAGTAGATAATATTAATACTTGAACGGTAGTGCCCTTTATATTTACATTTTAATTTCGGTAACATTATCATTTTTAATACATTGAAGACGCGATCAACATTATTAAAGACAGTACAACTGCAGGGATAGATATAAAGGAGCAAAACATTAGTATGCTTAGATTTGCAGATGATATAGCAGTATTAGCATCTAGCAAGGAGGACCTAGAGATAGCTTTAAATAAAATGGATGCGGTATTGACAAAACAGTATTGTATGAAAATAAATAAAAGTAAAACAAAAATACTGGTAAGGAACGAATGTAAAGATAGGAGACGAAAGATTAGAAGAAGTCGCTGATTTTAGGTATCTAGGAAGTCACATAAGTCAGGACGGAAGGAGTAGTAGGGATATAAAGCAGAGGATAGTGCAGGGTTGAGTCGCCTTCAATAAAAAGAAGTACGAAATGTGGTGATACCGGCGAATGATGAGTATACAATTTTTGCCAATGAATTTTACGTAGGTATTTAATTGAAAGAACGATTTTAAAATTTATTATAAATTTAGAAACTTTTTTTAATACTGTAAGTATATATGTATTTTATACATAGATAGATGCACATAAATGTGTGATTGCAGTCTATCGAACAATGTTTCAAATTACGAATCGATATATTTACTAAAAGCATCGGGCCTCTTGCCGTGTTCTGGATTAGTTTGACGGGAGGGCGCAGGACGAGCAACTATAAATTAAGAAGAAAAATGGACAGTGTCAGAATGCGATATTGCTTTCCTTTTATTCCGTCAAATCTGGAGAAAATGATTTGTGGAGAAAAAAGAAATTAAAGAAATATGTGATAAACGCTTATCTTTACGTCATATTCGCTATTCGTTCTTTCGGCCATCAAATAAGAAAAAAAAATTGTCGAGTCGAGTCGATATTTTATTGCAGGCGAATATTTTATGCATTATTACATCCATAAATACATTTTCTTTTTCTTAAAAAGATAATTCAGCCGAAACGTGTAAACGTTTTTAGTGAAACGTGAGTCTTCTGCAATTATTTTGTCGACTCCATTCCTATTGTTTATTGGTTTACTTTAAGCAGATGAAAGAGAAACCACAACGTAAAGGATTTGTCAAAATAATTTTCCTATCTATCTTAGTTTTGTTAGATTGCGTTTATGTTTATGCATTTATTTAAATTACGGTAGTGACGTTTTATTTGCCTCCTTCTTATAAACTATATAAGCACTTGACTCCAGTAAGCAGGGCTTATGTGCTGCTATGACCATTCATACAATAGCAGTTCCTTGTTATTCTACGTGGTCGTTTTGTGTGTAGATTTATTTTTAGAAGCGTTCGAAATATGGTGTTACAGGCGAATGATGCGGATACCGTGGATAGAGAAGGTTAGAAATGAAGAGGTATTAGAAAAAGTAAGAGAACAGAGGACTCTAAGGTCTAGTCAGAGACATATTAGAGGCAGAAACGGAAGTTAAGAGGGGTAGAGGTAGACGTGGATTAGATTACTTTTCGCAAATAGTAAGGATATGGGTTGCTCTAGCTTTAGGGACTTGCGAAGATTAGTGCAGGATAGGTAAGAATGGAGGTGCATGCCCAACCTATCTTAGGACTGACGACTTTATGATGATGACACACAGTTTAATTAACCTTGTGTGTATTTATTAAAATTTCAGAGTTAACTTAAGATTATTTATTAATGTATATTTACAAGAACGATAGATTTAGGATGTTACAAGTTACGTGGTTGAATAGGATCTATCTTTCTTTCTCATTGTAGGTATAAACCTACAATTAATAAAAGGTTCGAAGTGGTAGGTAAGTTCCGAGAAGAGTAGCTAACAAATATAATAGACCCCAATTTGAAGGGTAAATTTTGAATTATCAATTCTGTACAATAGTAAAATTAACAATAGTTGGGTACATGTAATAAACCTTCATTTATTAGGCCAATCAGCAAATTCGGAAAAATATTTGTACCTAAATATAATTTGGTCGAAACAATGGTGTATATTAATTATTCAAAAGCAACACAAAAGTCTAGTACCTTTTACTGCACAGATACATAGCAAAAACAGACAGATACATGCACTGAAAATTAGTAGAACGAACGAAAGCTTTGATGTAGTAGCTTTATTAACAGACATACTATTTTCTATAGTTGTTGCATGCATATAGGTACGTGTTCTTATCTTTGTATAAAATAATTTTCTGTTTTATCAAATATTCACTTTGTCTTGTAACTCGAGAAGCTATCATTAGGAATTTCCATTTGTTTGGGTAATTGATGGTTGGTCAGATTTGCCGTCTCCAGTGCAAAGTTTCTAATCGATTCCCTGGAGTTCGATTTAAACTTGCTGCGCTCATGGTCTGCTGCATTTAGCGTTAACTTCTGAACATTCGTTTCTCAAGCACTTGCGTTTAGTAAAGTAATCACGAATAATTATTGCATGTTAACAGATACGAGGGTGGATTGATAAGTTTCCGGCCTGACCAAGAAAAACAAGGTTTTTAAAAATTTTTTTTTTTTATTTCTCAACATAATCTCCTCCAAGGCTGATACATTTCTCATAGCGGTGTTCCAGTCTATTAATGCCATCTCTATAGACTGATTCGTCAAGCTCCTCAAAATAACCATTTACAGCTTCGATTACTTCTTNGCTGTACGGTCCTGGAACATGCATATAGACTGCCACTGTCGGCGGTCATTTCATACATATATTTATGGCTTAACTCGGTGAGCTTTATTTATGAACTGTAACAAATGGAATATGTCACTTGCAAATTGTACATTTGCATACATTCCGCAGAGACGGAGGTGTGCACCGACTATAATAATACTAGCCGCAGTTGGTATCCAATGCACCGGCTGATTCTCTAAAAAATTAGTCCGGGCTTTAACTTTAGTTGTCACATATGACTATTTAAATTGGATATTTCTCATGCACGCGAGGCAAATAACATGAATAATACACTTTCCTGTTTGGCGCAAATTATCATAGAAACAATACAATTTAGAGAGGTAGTTGGAAAAAAGTTTACTCAGTTTTTCGGGATTTTAAAA